ACCCCTCCCTCCACCCCCTATGGGTTTTAGAAGGTGATCCCATTGGTCAAATAAACCTTGTTTCCCTTTCATGTACTGAGCCTCTACGTGGCGAAAGGGATCAACAGACTTTCTAGTCTGGCTAATCAGTACACTTTTGAAACTTGTATAATATTTTTGAAAAAAATTTTTCACTTTCATTAAATAAAGAGTTTTTCTAATGATTTTGACCATTTTCAGGAGTCTGGAGCTCGTTGGAACATTTTGGAGGATTTAAAGCAGACCTAGATCAAAAACTTTGCATTCACAGAATTTTTCGAAAATTCCTTGTTTTTCAGCTAGTCGACGATTTCTGAAATCTGACTAAAAAAAAACGTTCCAGGTTTTTTTTTCAAATAATAGTTCAGAAATTTGGGAAATGTACCGTATATTGAATACCAAACAAAAATAGGGCTTTGGAAAAATTCATAAAGCGTTTAGAAGTTTTGGGCTAATTTTAAAGATGAAAATTTCCAAAAAAGTTGTCAAAAATTGAAGCTCTATTTTTGTTTAAAGTATTCTGAAAATTCCAAATTCACTTGACAATTTATAACTATTTTTAGAAGATTCAAAGATGCTCGCTTTCCATGATACACTCCAAAAGAATGAGTTTCCAACTTTAAGGCAATTCATCTGGGTTACTGTAAGAGATATCAAAAAGTGATCAACTGATAAAATGTTTATCATACTATCAGCGACATTTTATTACTTAACACATTTTGGATGCCTTTCACAGGAATCCAGGAAATTGGCAATTTATCTGGGTTCCTGTGAAAGGTATCTAAATTGTTTCAACTGATAAAATAATTTTGATAGTATGATAAACATTTTATCAGTTGACCGCATTTTGATATCTTCTGTAGGAAATGATATATATTGTCTCAAAGTTGATGGTTTGGGGAGTTACGGTATTTCAGATTTCAGAAAAGGCCACCTTCAGTTTGTGTCTCCTGCAAAGTCGAAACTGCTAAATGATCAGATTGTCGGTTTGTTCGTGAATTTCAGTAATCTCGAATTCCAAGTTTCCAGAATTCCTCTTGGAACCTGAACTCTTTAGCTTGATTTTTAAATGAGAATTCTCTAATAAAATTGAAACTACCGTACTCTATCTTTGTTGGCTGGACTGGCTATCTTGTTTCTAGGCACTACCTTATCTATTAATTTTAGTAGTCACAGTTGAAACTTTCATTTGTTTTATTCTCCTTGATTACAGGTTCTAGTTAATTACAAATTTTAGAAATTATTAGACCCCACAGTGGTCTATCTTATTTCCAGGAAATCTGCCGTCCCAGGAAGTCCTACTGCCTTGATTTTAATGACAGAATCATAGTTCCAGACAAGAACGCATATGAATTTAATTTTAGAAATTTCAGGAGTTCAGTGGACCCAGGATGTTTAATAGAAAAGCTCAAACAAATACAATAAATGAAAAGCTGCAAAACTTGAAGCGGATGAATCTCTAAAAAATAGACACCTTAGAAAATTGGAATGCCATATTCTGTATGCATCTTTACTGAACTACCGTAACCACTCTAACAGAACGCCCCGAGTCATCAACTTTAAGCCCATGTAGCTCATTTTCTGTGAAAGATATCAGAAAGTGGTCAACTAACAAAATCTTCCTTATATATAAAACGCTAGACGCGTCCACAGGTAAAGGCGGACTGCCGAAAAACTGCTAAATGACAGCTGAAGAGGCGAAAACTGGCGAATGACTGCTATTTGGCAGCCGAAGGAGAACTGACGGGCCGTCGACGGTCCGTCGACGGACAGTCGGTACCGATTGGAAAACGTACTTGAAGGTTCTGATTGGAAATCATGCAGAAAACAATTTCTCATACTCCCACTAGATTATAGAATGTTGATAGAATCTTATTTTCCTCAAATATGACCACCTCAAAAAATAGGTTGTTGAACGACTGCTAAATGACAGTCGAAAAGGCGCTGACTGGCCAACGACCGGTGGTTGGCAGTCCAAATTCCTTCAGAATGGAAAATTTTGTTGAAAAAATAGTTCTCTCTAAAAACATCATAAAAGTCATAGAGGGGTCTGGGAAGCTAAAAAATGCGTTATTAGAAGCATTTCTATATCAATTAGGATTTGAGGCGCGGTTGGTGAAAAACTGCTAAATGACAGTCGAATAGGCGTTGACTGGTTGATGGCGGCTGAATAAAAAAATATGTTTGAAAATTCCTTGGTATATATCTAGAAACATGTGTTAGCATTTTCGTGTTCCAAGATCTTTACTCGAGTTGTCATTGCATGATAATAATCAATCGTTCAGGACACATGTTCTCGGTCATATTTTTCAATTTGTTTAAGATTTCCGACGAAATTTATTTTTAATTTTGTACAATTTGTGTCTGAATGTGCTATTTTTTCCGTTTTTCTTCAAAAATCACAACAATTCGTTTTTAAATGCCGTTTTATAACTGCCGAGTTTCAAAATTTCGGTCATAGAGATTTGCAACAAAATTTGAAATTCAGTATTTTTCGCTTAATTTATCTAACTACTGGCATAAAGAAGCACTGAAAAGCTTTGCGCACTTTCGCTCTGCGCGTTTTTAGTTGAAAACGCAGAAAAAATCGGCGAAAACTCCTTGCGATGAAAGTTTCGAAAGTTTCGCTATTTTTTGTTTCGGAACTTTACAAATGCAGCCTTTCAGGAGTTTTTATATGGTGAGTTGGTGAGTTTTTATACGTTCCGAAGCAAAAACTATCGTAAACTCTGAAATTGTTCATGCGTTGTCGAAAATTCACCTCGCAGATACTTCATAGGTGTGACGTTTTGCAAGTGCAATGTTTGGAAAGTAACAACTTTGCAAGGTTTGCACAAAAATTAATACGAAAATCAGTTTTTGCTGTTTCTGACTCGTTTTTTAAATTTCACATGCAAAACCTCGCCCTTTTGAAGTCTGCTTTAAAAATGCCGCAGAGCCTAAAAATCTACAGATTTTTTACTTGTCAGTTTTTAGTGTTGCGAACGCATCACTTTTATTTATTTTGAACGTACTTATAAGCGAAAAATACTGTCCAATGAGAGAAATGTATATACTGAAAAACGAAAAAAGTTGAAAGGGAGAAACGAAGAAGAGAAAGAGAACGAAAGGAAATTAAAAAAGCTTCTGATTTTCCGAGTTGAGTTTCTATGAAGTTTGAATTTTGCGAAAATACAGAAAGAAAATCGGAAGTTCTGTCTCATTCAGAACTTGTGATTTCTTATGTGTTTTCTCTTGTTCTACTCATAAAAATTCACCTTTGAAAAAATCAGAGTTACTTTTTAAAAACAATACACAATCCACAGAAACTATTAGTTGAATAAAGAATTTCTATTGTTTATTACCTGTTTAATGATGAACTGTCAAGAAGGCGCTATCATTATAGACGGTCCGTCTTCGAGGCGCAAATCGTTTCAGGCGGACCGTCGGCGGCGCGCGATTCGACTGCCGACTGTTCGCTTTTCGGGAGTCCGCGCCCGCCAGACGGCCCGTTTTTCGGCGGTCCCCCTCTACCTGTGTCTGGGTAGAGTGAAGAACCAGTAAAAAATATTGAATTGCACCGACATCGCAGAAGCCAGCAGGCTGGTGTTTATCATAATATCAGAAATACTTTATCAGTTGACACATTTTTGATACCTTCCATTGGAACCATGATAAATTAGCTCAAAGTTTCAAGTTAGGAGAGTCATTGGCTACTGTAGTTCGGAAAATTGTTCGTATCTTGCTTCATTCTAAAGCTAAAATTTCGATTTTTCCACCAATCAAAATATTATAAAATTTTACATAACCTTAAAAACTTAAAATATTCTGATTGTAATGTTCAGACGTGTTTTCATTTCCTGAAGACGTCGTTCCGTTGACTTGGATCGATTGTATCGCTTTAGTGGTATTCTTGGAGAGAGGAGATTTGCTGGACCGCAATTTTCATACAGAACTCTCAACAAAAATTTTAAAAATCAGCGTATCCAAAATCCACTTTGAATTTTCAGATTTTCAGATTTTTTTTCAGGATTTGAAAAATGGATTTTTCGATTTTGGAAGCTTTCTCAAAATTTCCAGTTTTCAATTTTTTTGGATTCTCTTTGGATTCAATTTCCCTGTAATTTTCCATTCCTTCCAGCGTCTCCAGTTTTAGCTCAATTATCTCGGTTCCCATTGGAGATATCAAAAATTTGTCAACTAATAAAATTTTACTGTTATTATGATAAACATTTCATTAGTGGACCATTTTTTGATATCTTTTATGGTAAGCGAGATAATCAAGCTCAAAGCGCGCGCTCCTGCAGAGCTGAGAGCGGTCGGCACCGCTGCCACTTTTTCAGTTCAATTATCTCGGTTCTTATAGGAGCTATCTAGAATTTGTCAATTGATAAAATGTTTATCATATTATCAGCAATAGCCCACCTCTATTTGAAGCCCACCTCTAATAGAAGCCCACCCTCCGACGTGCTCAAAAACATAGAAGCGTATCTTCTAACAGACGTTCCTGCAGCTCAGTTAGTGAAGTTTAAACAGTTCAGTTCGTCTATTCGGTTGTTGTAGACATTTTCTTTTCTATTTTGAATTTTTCTGGCAATTTCAGTTTTTGGAAATTTTCTAAAAAAGAGGTTGAAAAATAGAAGCCCATGGGCTTCAATTAGAGGAAATACGGTAATCACTTTTTGATATCTTTCACAGAAAATGAGATAAATTCGCTGAAAATTCAGGGGGGAGGGACTTCTATTTGAGAAAATACAGTATCCGACAAATTTAGAGTTGGTGATTTTTTTAAACTATCATTTTTAGAATCAGCGTATCTGAAAGTGACGGTACACTTCCTGAAGCCAAGACCACCCATAACGTTTCTCAATTTGAATCTCTTGAATTGGCGCTCAAACCACCGCGACGTGCAAAATCGAGATGCACAGAGCTCAAAAGATGCTCACGAGATAGTGTGCTCAACTCGGAGAGCCTTTTCTCGACCAGTGGTGGCTGGGATGATCGGGGCGGCGGCGGCGATGGAGAAGAAGGCGGCGGTGTGCTGGTCCTCTCCAAAGAGACATTTCGGAAAATAGTATGCAAATCGTGGAGGGTTGGCTAGACAACGAGACGAAAGTGTGGCCGGGGCGAGAAGAGCAATGGAGGGGAGGGGACGCTCCATCCAGCACTCACAAAACACACACGCTCATACTCTCTCCCTCTCTGCCTCTCTCTCTTTCTCTCTTCCTCAACCTCTTTCTCACTCTCTCCCTCTCTCTCTTCAGCTTTCACTGTATGAGTGAAAGTGTGCTGGGGCCGCATACTTGTCTGTGTCTGGTTGTGTATGTGTGCTGCTTGGCTGACTGCCCCCTTGCCCGAGACAACACAAGACGTCGTCGGGCCGTGTCCGCCCGGCCACACACACACATGCACGCTTCTGAATTTTTGGAACTTTTCCCTTTTCTCTTGACATCACCATATCATCCCTAAAAATCATTGATAATATTCCAGGGGTGCCAAGCTGATTCGTCGATTCGCGACGATTGTCGGCTGTCGAGGCGCCGCTACTCCCCGGGACCCCTGTGTGATACGAAAAGTGCTGTCATTGTGTCGGCTCCACGCGCGCCTCCCACGCACTCTATTCCATTGGCGACCGGACGGACCGTAATCGACACCTGAAAAGGCACAAAACCGAGGGGCCGGAGAGCGAGCGAATCGAACGCCCCTCGTAGGATGCGCCTTATGGGCTGCGTCGGCGGTGGCGCGGATCAGGAGGGCCGCGAGGCCCGTAAGGTTAACAAGCAGATTGAGGAGCAGTTGGCCAAGGATAAACAGGTTTGTAGTTCATTTTGTGGTGTCCATTTTTTTCATAACTGTGAAGCTGGGGCTGCCCCTTTAAGCTAGGAATCCTAGCCTCTAAGTGTGGTGCATTTTTGGGTTGGCCTTTTTCTGAAATATGTGTAGCTGTCCCTTTAAGCTAGGCTAAGATTCCTAGGATCCTAAATTGGAAACTCTTGAATCCTCTTTACCTGCGAATCCTTCATCTCATATTCTGTAGTCTAATTATTTCAAAATTTCCTAAAAGTTCTATTTTTAGACTTTTTCACATTTTGCCAATTGAGCACACACATGCCAATCAGAGCTCGAAACTAGAGAAAAAAAGACAGGAATCTGAAATTTTGAACTCTCGAAGTCTGGAAAATTGCTTTGAGCTAGATATTGAGCTAGTGAGAAAATATAATTTGAATTTGGCGCCATTTTCGCTGTGTTTGGTCGGTTTTAAATCTTGAACTTTATAGCTAGTAAACCTTTGATAGCTAGCTAATCTTAGATAGCTAGCTAGCTCATCTCCAGCTTATTAGCTCACCTTTCTCTCTCTCTCTCTCTCTCTCTTTCTCTCTCTCTCTCTTTCTCTCTCTCCAGGTTCCCACGGTCTTATAGTTCCTCTGAAACTTCTAGAATCTTCCCACGACCTCTTTCCAGTTCCCTAATAGCTCTGGCCTAGATTCTCGGTACGGTAGATAATTGCAATAGTCTAGAATCCTCCTCTCCCCCATTTTCTCACTAAGAAGACAGAAAAGAGTGCCATTTAAACCGGTAAGCCCCCCCCCCCCCTCCGTCTCCTTCCAACCCCTTTTTCCTTCTTCTTCTTCTTCCGAAAGGGCCCCAACACGTCGTTGAAATATTGATCGATAGGGGGGAGGAAGAAGAAGAAGAAGGCACTGCTGCTGGGCTGCTCGAGGAGGGCGAGAAGGCGCGGCACACGAAATTCGGAGGCCAGGCGGCAAGAAGAGAAAAAGAAGAAGAAGAAGAAGAAGAAGAAGAAGAAGAGAGAGCTCCTTGCCTGCCCCGGGGGCCCCGCGGATCCCCTTCC